GAGGACACGAGGAAAAAAAGGTGAGAAAAACAGGGAGGATAGTGAACCAACATTGAATTCCATGCAGGTATGAGTTTGTTAGGATGAACCCAACTACTATGGATAAGTTTAAAATTCTAATAAAAAAAGAAAACGAAAAAAAATCAAGTGTATATGAAGAGGCAAGAAACCCTGAAAACCCAACATAATATCAAAAGACAAGAACAAATTTAGAGTATTCACAGTTCTCAACTTTAATAAATACTCTAAAGCTATAGTGATAAGAGAGTGTAATATTGAGAAGAGCATAGATAAAGAGATAAATTGGACAGAATAGAAAGCCCAGAAATGGAATCACACAATATTGTCAACAGATCTATGATTAATGAGCCAAAAAGCAATAGAATGGAGAAAATATAGAGTTTTCAACAAACAATACCAGAATAACTGTGCATCTACTATCAAGGCAAAGGAAAGAAATAAATCCAGACATAGATCTCACATTACAAAAATTAATTCAAAATAAATCACAGCCCCAAATGTAAAATGTGGTACTGTAAAATTGCTGGAAGTTAGCATATGGGAAAATACAGATTAGGTTTGGTAAATGAGTTTTTATAGATGCACAAAAGGCACCATCAATTAAAGAAATGAGAAACCACCTTTCTTCTCTATGAAGAAAGAGAATGCAAAGTCACAGATAAGGATAAAATATTTACAGAAGACAGAAAAGAGACTTCTTCAGATGAAAAAAATAATCTAAATGCACACAAAAAAACTGATAAAATGAACAATATGACAACAGACACCCCAATTTGGAGTCTTTTGGGATTGGGGATGTGGCTCAGAGGCAGAGTACTTGTCTAGCATATACCAGACCCTGGGTCCTTCTGCAACACTTGGGAACTATAGTGTCTAAAACAGTAACAGAACATCAGCTATCCAGAACAGAATGTGTGGGTGAAAAATAAGCTCATTAAAACAGGCTTTACATGATTTGTCCTCAGTGAAATGAAAAWCAAACCAATGAGATACCATGAAGCATCTGTTAGATGCTCAAAATTTAAAACACTGACAAAACCAAATGCTGACTAGTTTGTGGAGCAACAGGAACACTCATTTATTGCTGCAGTGAATGAAAAATTTTCACTTTGGAAGACAAGTTGGAAATTTCTTAAAAATGAAACAGCCTTACCCTAAGATCTATCAATAATTGGTACTTATTTTCCAAAGGAATTGAAATTTTCTGTACACACAAAAAAAMMAAAAAAAAATGAATACTTAAAGCAGATTTATTCATAACTGATTTCCAAAACTCAGAAGTAACCAAAATGTCCTTCACTGAGTGAATGGATAAATTAACTGTGATACATCCAGGAAATGGAATACTGTATTATTCAGTACTGAAAATAAATGTCATAGAAAGTCATTTTACCAAGTAAAAACAATCAACTTGAAAAGAATATCTACTGTATGTTTCAACTTACAAAAGTTTTGAAAAGTTAAACTAGGGAGACTGTGAAAGATCAGTGATTGTATGGTTACTGGAAGGTAGGGCTGATCTGACAGGGCACAGAGGATCTTCAGACCGGTGAATCAACTTTGTATGTTCCACATTAGGGGCAACTCTTGGTGTTGCACATACTATAATTTAACCCTAATATTAACAATGGATTCTTGGAGATAATGATGTGTCAATGAAGCTTCAATGATTGTAACAAGCATGCCACACCATTGTAGGCTGTAGATAGTGGAGACGTGCTACGCCTGTGTTGGGGAGAGGAACAAAAGGGAAATTGCTATATTTCTACTTAATTTTTCTGGGTACCTAAAACAGCCCTTTTTTAGGTAAATTTATATTCAAAAAATAATTTTTAAAAATTTATTTTTAAATGAAAAAAGTCTAATTCATTCAAATTCTATTTCAAAACAAGAGGAATATAAAGCCAAAGTGACAATAGTAGCAAAAATAAAAAGCAAGTGAGAAAGCAGAATTCATTAAATTGATTACAGAAAACAACATAGAAAATAACGCTAGTAAATTAAAATGTCTCTAGCATCATTAACAGAAAAATAGTACAAAAAATCAAATGATACAATTAGAAAATAGGCAAAAAAAAAGAAAGAAAACAATCTAATTTAAAAAATGGACTAGAAAACACTCATGTAAAATTGTTTATGATTACTAGGCATTGCTTAAAACTATGATTAGAACATCTGAAATAAAAGGTAGTGACAATGTAACTTACTGGCAAGAMTGCAGAGAAACTGAAGTCTCATACATTGCTGGTGGGTATATAAAATGGCATAGCCATTCTGGAGTATAAGTTAGCTATTTTCTTTAAAATTAAACAACTATTGTCCAGCAATTTGTAATTCTGTACATTTATACCATACAGTGAAAACTTATGCCCACACATAAACATCTACAATCTTATTTTTGGTTCTGTTTGGACATTAGTTTACTACTTATAAGTTGTGGTTGCACAGAATATAAAAAAGTTAGCAAATGCTCTAATTTTAATTCTTATACAATTTATCTGATATTAGCAGAGGTGATAGTCTGGAGGTACTTAGAAGGTGGCTTTAAAAAGTCTGTATAGCTTGCCACCCTTCTGATTGATTAGTGACTTCACTTGCTATATGGCCTTAATTTTTAATTTGGTATTTTTTATGTTACCCTGGGGGGTATTATTTTCCTTATTTTATACAGAGAGATGCTGACTTTAAAGACCTTCATTCTGAGACAGGAGAATCATGTGTTCAAGCCAGCTTCAGCAAAAGTGAGCAGTAAGTAACTCAGTGAGACCCTGTCTCTAAATAAAAAATACGAAATAGGGCTGGGGATGTGGCTCAATGGCTGAGTGCCCCTGAGTTCAATCCATGGTACCCGTTCCCCAAAAAGTATCTTCATTAACTCACCAAATATTGTAGTCACTCATTATTTTTAAGACTGTTTTTTCATTCCAAAATTGCTACCTATAAATTTGAAAATCATATGTAACCAAATATCTTAATTTTAAAATTTGTTCATAATGAATGAAATTATAAAATAAAGCTTAAAAACACAAGAATAATGAGAATAACATTTAGTGACTTTCAGGTAAGTAACAAATAGATCTAATCATCTGCATAGCTGCATTATGTAATAAATATTATATTAAAGCAAAAACTAAATAATGGCCATTTTATTAAATTTCTAATTTTTCCATCGTGTGCTAAAGGTTTCTGAGTTCATTCAAAGTGTTAGAAAGGGGTTGTAGCTCAGCAGTAGAGTGCTCACCTAGCATGTGTATATATAGTGTCACATATAAATAAACAAAATAAAGGTGCTGTGTCCACCTACAACTAAAAAACTATTTAAAATTTTTAAAAAAAGGGTTAGAAATCTAATAAACAAAAATCAAATAAATACTATACTGCTGTCAGCAACTCATGGTTGAGGTTTCCCATTAGCTTGAAGAATACAGAACTGATAGTAACATGAATTCATCAGTATTAGCATATGTGCCATACTTTGAAATATTGAAAAATCTACCAAGAGCTAAAGTAAATATAAAAAGTAAGTAAAGTAAATACATTAATAAAGTAAATATATAAAGTAAATAGTTCACAACTGCAATACATTTTTTTGATAGCAGCACTAAGAACTGATTTAAAGAGTGGTATAATTGGCTGGCACAAAGTGAATGATCCATCCCTGGCAGCTGATGGGGAGAAGGGCGGTGTAGTGACAAGACAGAGAGAAGATGTGCCTGTTTTTAGGGAGGTGGCCATGTTGGGAATGTAGATTTCAAAGTTATGAGACAAGTTAAAGGAAGTGGATAAAGTCATCAAGGCATTTGTCTAAAATGATGACATATAAATATAAGGCAAGGTCATGGAAATATTAGTGCTTTAGAGAAATACAATATGAAGGATCCAGCATAAGGGAAGTGCATCCACCATTCAATATACACTCCAGAAAGAAATACTAAAGACAAAGAATGATATAAAACAAGAATGGATATTCCCAGAGGGGCTCAAATCAGAGTTGAAGAGAAAAGTTAAGAGAAAAGCATTAGGAGATATATAAGGCAAAGAAGAGGTCATCTTGATAAAAGAAGGAGTAAATATGTCTGAACTGAATACCCAGCAGCYATTCAAAAGCCTCTGTCTATACTATCACATAGGCCAGACCTTGGAAGACTTTGAATGTCAGGCTAAGACTTTGGTCCTGGATTTAGTAAGTAAAGGAAGGTAAAAAATTATAATAATAATTTTAATTCATTGTTGAAAGTTATATTGGGTTATAACAACCACATGATTAATTTTTCACTTTGGTGTTTGTAATTGTATACATTCTTACACAAAAGAAGTATTTTTGTTTTATGCTAACCAAAATATTGTCATTATGAATCTCATAGTAGGGAGATGTAAATAATTTAGATTTTGAATATTTGCAAATAGACATACTCATAAAAATAAGAGTAATGCATCTTTCTAAAGAGTTAAAAGCAGCATAGTTAATATATTCCAGAGTACTAAAAATGCACAAGGGGCAAAGTCAAAAGTCATTCATTTAACTCATCTTGCTTAACACATAGATCACTGGGGAAATGCATTTATTTACTAAATCAGTTTCTGTAGGACTTTGTATTCTTATTTTGGGAGAGAATAAATAATGATAAAATAGAATTCACATTTTTAAGTATTTTAAATTACTTAATTAGAATGTGAAACCACCAAGTGACGTATTTACTTTTCAAAATGTTATTTTAGTGTGATACAAATGCAGTGCATGAGGAATTAAAAGTAAGAAATGCAATTAACTGTGTGTAATTTATTTTAAGCAACGCCTTTCAGTGGATGTTTATCATTGAAATCTTGAAGTGATTTTATTCTATTGGCCATGAGGGATGTTTCAAGGTGAGTGGAGAATATGTTTTTGCTACTTTGGTTCTTCTAAATTTTCTCCCTTTTGCTTCTTAATAGCATTAGTGTAATTAGACGTGTGTATGTGATAAATTTATCGTGTTTACCTTTGCTTCAATCTGTTTAGTATCTGGATTCTGAAACAAAAATTTGATTTTGCTCTTGCCATCATCTGAAGAACCTTTAAGCTGAGAAAATTTATACCTCCAAAGTACAGCCTAAAAGGAAAAAAGAGAAACACATGCAAGTCAGTATAATTAATGTCTGCATTCAGCCAAGAAATAATTACCTTTTAAATAGTAAAAAACACATAAAGTTACTAATATGTCCTGATAATGAAAGGTAAATTAAAATATATTTATCAAAGGGTATAATTTAATTCAATATATTCTTTAATTTTCAGAAATAACTTCTGTACCCATGAAATAATTATTGCAAAAATATATAAATTAATTATTTTCAGTATCATGTCATATTTAATCAGGAAACAATTTTTACTTTGTTTCGAAACAATGTAAGTCATGAAGTGTTTATGATTTGATGATTCTGGAGATTTCACTTGAAGCCTAAAGTATTGACCTTATTGCTTCTTCAAAATGACGTATCAGCTTTAATAAATAATTATTATAAAAACTTACATGGTGCACTCACAAGATTAAATAAGAATAAGAATTTTATAGAGCCCCCTCATTGAGTCTATAATGTCTTTAAAAACTTCTTTCTGAAATACAGTAATCCACAAATACAGTTCTTTGTAGCTAAAAACAACAAAAATCTGTAGCCTTTACAAGTAGCAAAAAGGAGATACATGAAGGTTAAATTGGAAATAAGTGAAAACTGTATATTTTTGTTATTTCTGATATCTTCTATATTATAAATCTTATTGTCTAAAAGTAAATGAAGCATTTTGTTCTTTGGCATGTACTACAATTTAAAATATGCATGCCCAGTGTTAAATACAATTGGCATAAATCATTAACTTGGAAAACTACACAGTTGTGTTAAAACATATCACATACCAGGTGGTTTTAAATTATCTTACTACCTTTGTCTCATTACACCAGGTAAGTTATCTTACCACCTTTATCTCATCAGTATATATTACAAAGAAATACAATCAACAAAATATGCTCTTGTTAAAAATAATTTCTTGTGGTTTCTAAATAATTCAAGGAAACACATTTATGATAGTTGGATGTTTGGATGTTTTCTTGGGGCAGTTTTGTTATTGTCTCTGATAAAATTGTAGAGAAACAAGATATACATATATTAAAAAGTACATAAATATGCATATATGCACACATGAACACATTAATATTGTAAWTTAAGCACATTATGAAAATAAATTTTAGCATTACATTGGCCATTTAAATCCATCTTTCTCAAAGGCTTTTAACCTTTTCAAGCAGATTTTCCAATGAGAAAAATACTATTTTTATCTCCAGTAATATTCAAAAAATGATCCCCAATATACTGTCTGTTTACTACAATAATCTCACACTGGCATGGAGAAAATAAGATTAATTGAGGTTGCATTGGATATATATAAGGGCAAATGAAAATGGATGAGCAAACATTTATCTCCAACCAACAATTGCACATTAGTAAATGTTCATAGATGTGAAATTAATTCATGGTAATATTTTCAGTTTAGCTATTCCAGTTTTCTAATCCTGGTCTTCTTTTGGAAACATGAGACTTTAAATGAAAGAAAGTAACAATAACTAACATTCGGACTGTACATGCAATTCAATAGAGGTGATTGCTTTTCTTCTTTTCATCTTGTTACAGGGAATCAATGAAACTTTCTGAATACTTATTTTTATCTCAAGTAATTTTATATTTTTGACATTATTCATCAAAGGAGTAATACTGGAATTGGATTAAAACATGAGAATGACAGTGACAATCAAGGTAAAATGATATTCTGCTATTTCATAAAGAAATGATGTAAAATACAGAATTTGTGTGATGCACAGTATATAACCAAGGTCATTAGTTCACTCATTTTTATTGAATAAATAATAAATCAGATGAGATTATGATAAGACAGAACCTCAGTCCACATTTGCTCTTAAATATTAATTCCCATAATTAATGCAAAAGCTTCATTTTTCTGCATGTGGGTGGTCAGTTATTTCAGGACCATTTACGGAAAAGACTATACATTCAACTGCATTGCCTTCAGTCCTATTTCAAATATCATCTGGCTATATTTATGAGGGTCTATTTCTGTGCTCCCTAATCTGTACTACTGATCTATTTTTTTCACTATTATCACACTGTATAGATAACTCTAGCTATTATTTGCTTGGAATACATTTTCTCATCATTTCTCTTACAACATCTATGTAGATTTATAGTAAGTCTTGAAATCAAGACATGGCAGTTCGCCAACTTTACTCAAGTTCTTTAATTCCATCTGGATCTTCTGCCTTTTCATATAAACATTAGAGTCAGTTTGTTGACATCCACAAAATAACTTACTGAGACATTGATTGGTCTGTTTGGTTATCCAAGTATTGATGTAGAGGTATCCAAGTATGGAACTATTATTATAGAATTGTTTCTTCCTTCGATTCTGTCACTTTGCTCATATATTTTGGGGATCTGGTATTGAGTGCATGGATTTTATGTTTATTATTGTTGTAGCTTATTGTAAAATGTTCCCTTTTATTATATAAAGTCCTTTTGTCTCTTGTAGCAATGACTTAAAGTTCTTCTCCTTTTCTATTAAATAGCTAACTCCCCTTTGGGTCATATTTGCATGGATGCTCCTCACATCATTTCTTTTGCAAACATCTGTGTCTTTGGACTTCATGTTAGTCTCTTGTGGACAGCAGACATAATTTTTAGAAACCTAATATGTGACATAGGACAAGGAGCAGTAACTGTTTTGTGGTTTCAGAGTTTCTGTTAGGGGTGATGAAGACTTTTGGTACGGATTGTGATGATAGTTGGACAACAATGTCAATCAATTAAGGACAATAAACTGTGTACACAAAAACTGTTGAAATAACAAACATTATGTTACATATATTTTAGAGAATTAAAAATAAATGAAAAATTATTCTGGAAACAAACTATTTCCAGAATTCACTCAAAGGAAAGACTAATTAAAATATTTAATTTTAAAAAATAATTAAAATGCCTTAATAATAATGGTGAAATTATCAAATGATACATAATCATGTTAAAGCATAATTAACTTATACAAAATTTTACTAACTCCTTTTTTTTTATATCATGGATTGAACCCAGGGGTGCTTATCAGTGAGCCACATCCACAATCTGTTATGAGACAGGGTCTCACTAAGTTACTTAGGGCTTCGCTAAATTGCTGAGGCTAGTTTTGAACTTGTGATCCTCATGCCTGAGCCACTGGGATTACAGGCATGGACTACCATGCCTGCTCACTCACTTTTTTATCTATTTAGCTAACATTTATGTAGTGGCTTCTATATATTGAGTATTGTGTTATTTAAAGAAAAAAATGGCACTATCATAGGGACCTTAATTTTTGTTAAATCTATGTGTACACCTTGATCCTTACTATATTAGACTCTATAATTTATTGAGAAACAATATCAGATCATTAAAAATTGTGTTAAATGTTCTCTTTAAATCCATTATGATACAGCATTCTTAAAAATAACATTATCTGGACAATTAACTTTCTGAGARAAACAGTAAAACAGTTAAATTATTTTTATCTCAGCTTCCACTAAGTCAAAGTCTTTGTGTTTTAAAAAGTGAAATAAACATTCCAACTATAGGAAAATTACAAGTGACTATATCAGTAATTATTTAGTAATTTTTGAAAAGATATAGGTTCTAGGTTTAGGAGTAATGAATCCATACTCATTTATGTACAGGTTCTAGGTTCAGGAGTAATAAATTATTAACTCATTTATGTACAATTAACATATATTAAGGAAAAATATATTTTTATTGTTGAGTAGCAGGAAATATTCTAAGGTAGAAAGAAACCCTTAAATAACCAAAAAATAAAAAGGAAAACAGTGCAACAGACAAAAACCACAGAAAATAGAAAAACAATTATTCTTGTTAATAATGTTTATTAACTTCATTAGACATTTAGATTATATTAATTTTAAAMTATCTTCATTAAACAACCATTAAACTAGTAAATGATCATTGAAAATTATATTAACTAAAGCAACCAAATGATGTCAAAACAAATATTTCCATAATATTGCTGGTGATAGTGGAAAATTTGAGGAACATAATTTTAAACATGTATTTTAAGCTTTAAAATGATAATATCATTTGATCCAGAAATGTTATTTCTAGAAAGTAACTGTAAAAAATATACTATATGAAAAATAAAATGTCAAAGACATTGTTAAAAATTTTTAAATAATGAAATTTATAAACATTTTATATTAAAATAGTATTTATGAAAATCATGTAAGTCTCTATAAAATGCAAGTCTCTTCTTATTTGTGGGGGATACGTTTCAAAGTCACCTGGGGTTGCTGGAAATCATTAATGGTGCTCAACCCTACGTGAGATACTSCAGTGGTCACTGAGATAACTGAGAAGGCTAATAAGTAACTAAAGGGCTGGTATCCTATATGGCATATATCCCCGGGGCTAAGAATGATTCATCTTCCAGGGTGAATGGAGTGGGATGGCACAATGATTCATTATGCTACTCAAAGGAGAATGTAATTTAAAGCTAATGAATCATTTACTTCAGGAATTTGCCAATGACTATTTTTGGAACACAGTTAACCATGGGTAACTAAAACTAGAGACAACAAAATAGTAGATTAGGGGACTATTGTAATATAATGTTCAAGGCAAACATAAGGACATGGCAATAAATGAGATAACTATGTTTAAAAAACATACAAAACTGGAAAAGTGTCCATCAAAATAGAWAACAGTGCACACCCTGCCATTAATCTATGTAGTTTTTGGACAAGAAAACTTATTTTCTAGTGTAGCTTTGCAGTACAATTAAGAGTTTTTCAATCCTCAGATTATAAGTAAATTTTAAATGACATTTCATGTGTAGTCATGATAGGAAAAAACACAAATTTGCTATATCTAATAAATCAGTTCTCAAGAATGGACAGATATTAAATTCTATAACTTTCATCAAGGTGCAATATAGATCTTCTGACCATAATAATGCATATTAAAAATATGAAAGAGGTTGGAGAATTTTTTTTACTAGGGAACATGAATC